CATGCCCTCCTCACCTCTCAGGCTCTGCACTAGCTGTTGCCACCTCACTCCCCCCCCCCCATGTGTTTGCCTGCTGCTCGTTCTCATCCTCAGCTCTCTACTCAGGTATCACCTCCTCAAAAAAGCCTTCTCTATATCAGAGGGGCCCCCACACTACTCATCACCTTCTTGATTTCTTCCACTGCACTTACGATAATCTGAAATTATCATGGGTTTATCCCCCCAGGGGGATAGGGGCTTGTCGTTCGGTTCATCATTTTCTCCAGGACCCAACTCAATGCCTTGAGCATAAGAGGAGCGCCATAAACATTTGTCCGAGTTAATTTTACAGAAATGGAAACAGGCTCAGAAAGGTCAAGTGAGCTGTTCTGGGTCACACAGCTGGCACTCACGTCTGCCTGTTTCCAAAGCCCCTGTGCACGATGCAGTAGCCACTGCCACCCTCTGACCGGCCTCTACGCAAACCCACCTTCAGGCTACGAATGCTGGACGGGCTGGCATCCGACTTGAGCAGGACCTGGATGTCCTGGAGCACCTCCTCACCAACGGGCCGGGGCCGGGTCACCTCGTCAGCCACCTCCTTGGCAGCTTCCTCCAGCTAGAGAGAAGGAAGGGGACAGGCTGTTAGTGACTGGGGCAGGGCCGGCCCTGGGGGGTGCAAAGGCAGGGTCCCACTCACCAGCTGCAAATGCTCGGTTGGCTGCTTATACAAGAAGTCAGCCAGGTCCTCATCAAAACTGGCCAGGTCCTCCATCTCCACCTCGATCCAGTATTCCCCCAGGTTATAATGCCGCTTGAGTTCATCCCTGGAGGGAGCAGATGCCAGGGTGAAGGTGGCAGACAAGAGCAACCAACCCTGGCTGAGGGGCACCTGTACCCTGAATCTGCCCTCACCATCACCAACACTGCTCCACTTCTCTCCCCAAACACACATCGAATTCCAGGTGGTTCTGAAAGGGTCCCTACTGCGAGCAGAGGCAGCCTCCAAAGAAAGCTCTGTGGAAGGATGTTTCAACACTCTCTTGGGAAACTAACAAGGCACACACCCCAGAACTTGGGGAGACACACGGGAGCAGACATCGTGTCTGTCTTGTCCACCACCACAGATCCTTTTTACAGAGCATTCCATGAGGCTACTGTCCCAAAAACACATTGGGGACCATGGACCTACGCAGAGCCTGCTCCCCAGCTTCATCTCAGGCCTCATCCTCTTCTACCTTATGCCTGGAAGCCATGTAAAGCAGCCGGTCTGGCCCAGAGAGCCCCTTGCTGTAACGGGCCACCCCTCACCTCTGCCCATGCAACTGCCATCTGGAATGCCTCCCGCACCACGCCTCTTCTCTCAGCTCAAGGGTCACCCAGAACTTTGGCTCCTCTGGAAGTCTTCCCCAGCTCCTCTTTTACAGTCCTCCTTTGAGGTGATGATCGCTGCCTAATTTGTGCCTTGCTCCCACTGACCTCATGGAGGCAAGCAGTAGGAGAATCTTTTCGCGCGTTTGTCATCTCAGCGTCTAGCAGTGTCTAGCACATAGGTGATCAATGCTAGCTGGTGCATGCATCAACGGAAGCAGAAACGGCTATGCCCATTTTACTGATGAAAAAAACTGAGGCCCAGAGAGACTGTCACTTGGAAGTCACTCCACCCGAGCCTGGACCCGCAAACTCACGCTCTCTACTTTTGAAGGGGCCTACGATGATTTGGCATGATGTCATAGGTTGTACCATTACTAGGAGCAGGGACCTAGCCCAGATCATCCGGTGCTGTAGCACCTGGAACAGTGCCTGGCATGCAGCAGGTAATCAACAGAGGTTACAAGAGCAGAATGAATGAATGAATGAACGATGTGAATCATAACTCCCACTTCTATTGTACCCATAGAGAACTAGGGTTAAGGAAGGATCTCTGACAGTGTATGTAAGGACAGTAAGAAGCAGACAAATAGAAACAAGAAATGGAAAATGAATCAAAGGGCCCCAGTGGCTCCAGCTGGGTTGGTGGAGGCCCATTCAACAGATGGCTCACTCGGAAGCTAACTTCAGGTATAAAATATATAAAGCCATGTGCCACTGAAGGCTCTGCGTGCAGACGTGCCCAGCTCAAGCAGAGGGGTTTGTAGGCCCATCTCCTCTCCTCCCCATTCCAGCTCGCACCTGTATTTGAAGGTGAAGCCGGTGCGGTCGGTGCCCACTCGGTACTGACGCAGGAACTCCTTGAAGCGCCTCTGCAGCTGCGATTTGCGAGCCTGTCCCTCATTGGCCGCGGTGTCACCCCCGAAGCTGTCGCTGTAGAAAACGCCGAGGTCATCGAAGCCTGACATGACTGCTCCTGGCGGGGAAAAAGGGCTGGAGCAGACTGGGGGCAGCAGCGCGCGGCGACCGACGCCTAGGTTCTCGGCTCCGAATGCGAGGCGGGGGTGTCTCGATTCAGAGGTGGGGGACCCTGACCCCAGTTCTCCCAGGAGATACCCCTGCCCATCCTTACAGCACCCCCAAATTCATACGCCTACCCGACCCCCCTGTGGGGCCTGCTCCCGGGTCCCCACTCCCCGGTTCCACCGGTCTCACCTCTCCCTTCCGGCACTCCACGGATTCGGAGAGACAAGCAACCCCACGCTCTCCGCCGAGTTTCGCGGGAAAAGCGAGAAGCCGCGTTCGGACGCCGCGGCTGCTGTGCCCCAATTGGTTCGCCGGGGCCCCGCGGCCATTGATTGGACCGCTCTGCGCCCTCGAGCCCCGCCTCCAGGGTTGGTAACCGGAGCGGATTGGCTGAGGGCCTCATGACGTCAGGACTCCCGGCCTCCTTCCGGGCTCCATTTTGTATGGCGGGCAATTTGGCGCGAAATTTATGATGGGAAGGGGAGAGGCGGGGCTGGGCGCAAAGATGGCGGAGGGGTGGGTTTTCGGGCCGAGGGACTGCGCGGGCGTACTGAGGAGTCTTGTGTATTCCTCTCGAGCCTTTCTAAAATCTCTTGAGAAAATAACTCCTTTCAGAGCCACAGGGTGAAAGAATCAAGGCTTCAGAAGCTACATGTCCCTGAGAACTACGTGCTGCCCCCTAGCGGCTGGGGTTGGGGGGGGGCGGAGGCGCGGCCACCTGCACCCCTGCTCCGTGTTCTCACAGTAACACACTCATCTAAAAGTTGGAAATGGATCAGACAGATCAGACACAAGTCACCTCTGGTCTCAACGTCTCTGGGACCAAAATCTTACCAAACTTAGGACTGAAGGATGTTTTCTTAGATTCAAATGAGATTTTTTTTTTTTATTGTAGATTTTACATTATTTGGAAATGCTTAAAATTTGCGAAAATTCACGACCGGATTCCCGACTTAGCTTGAAAAATAGGAATATTTGGCAAAACTCGTCTCATTCTCAAGCAGCCACAAGGGCTGCATAATTTTCTTCTTCATTTCTGTCCCCCCAACAAGAACTTTTTATTGTCTGCCACATTCACACAAACGTGTATTCACAAGCCATGTTTAAAACGTGTATTTTTGCAGTGTATAAAAATTATACCAAGTAAATCTGAAACTGGCTTTTCTCATTAGTTCAGCACGGAAGTCCCTCTGGGTGGAGACAGATTGAACTCACTCTATTTAACAGCGACTTAATTTTCCAGTGTGAATAGAATGCAAATTATTTAACCATTTTCCTATGAGTAGAATTCAAGATGGTTTCTCTCCCCCCTCTCTCATTCCCTCCCTTCATCACTACAGTGAATATCATGCCCCTTTCACAGAAAACTGGAAACTGAGCCCAAGGTGGGCAGAGCTTTTTGAATATATAGTTGCTATTTGAATGCCCACCCTTCGCACCCACCGTCTCACAAACAGTGGCTCCTGTTCCTGGCTGCCCTTCGGAATCTCCCCGGGAGCCTGTTATAAATAGGATTCCAGGACCCAGCCCCAGGCTTCCGGAATCAGAACCTCTCAGGGTGGGGGCCCAGGCATATCTGGGTGACTCGGGTGCCGCCATTCACTGGCTGGGGATAGGACACCCCTGGAGTAGGTGTACAGTTCTCCTTTTGTCAATGAATAAAGGAGACTTGAAGTGACTTGTCCAAGGTTCCAGACTTAGTGACAAAACCAGGACCAGGGACGAAGGACCTTCTGACTTCCTGTCCTCACATACTATTAGTTGTCTAAGGAAACGCCTTGTCCCCTGGGCTCCTGAATACACCTTCAGCGAGGGGCTTTCCCTGTCCCGGATTGGGAGCCTGCATTTTCAATATTCCAGTGGCTTTCATGACTTAAGGAAAAGGCTTGGGTTAGAGCGGAGGAGACCTGGGGTAAATCCTTCCTCACCCTCAGAGTGGTACCACTCCTCACAGATTTGCTGTGAGGATTAAATGAGATGACGTAGGCGAGGTGACTCCCAGTACAAGAATCACTTAGCAAGGATCACAGACCCTCATCTCTCTCATTTTCATAACAGGGGCTAATGTACAAGGTCGGCATTTTACATGCATCTCATTTGCTTCTCAGGCAGGTGAGGTAGGTCTGACTGTATTCATGTTACAGGTGACACAACTGAGCACCCAGAGAGGTCAATAATTAACCTCACAGGCAGAGCTGCCGAGTGGAGGAGCAGGGCCTTGAACCCAGGGACCTCATGCTAGTCCCTAACATTCACTGGGTAACACTCAGATTTTATCCCTGAATCTGCTGCATTTCAGCCTAACAAGGCAACGCTATCCTCAGTAAAGGTGAGCCTTGCATCAAGCAGGGTTCACCACAAAGGTTCACCCAACTGCTTAAAGCTCACCCCCCAACCCATTCTCAACAGAACAGAACATCCAAAACAGGCTCCTGCCACCCACACCTTCATCCCTTTCTCCCCTCCAGACATTCAAGAAGCAAGTGAGGAAAAAGTCAGTTCCCCAAGGGTGACAGCCCAAGAAAAACACTTCAAGTTATATCAGGCAACATAGTTTATTATTTCACACAAAAGTTAGGGACCAAGGCCACAGTACTGTTAAAAACACCTCTCTCCCCACCCCCCACCCACCCCTTACCCTGTTATAAAAAAAACAGAACACAACAAAATACCACAGTTCAGGCTGAGCTGGGAACAAAAAGTGGCTCCAACAAAAACAAGACAAACACAAGACATAACATCTTTGCACATTTATATGAATTTTGCCATGGCCCATGGGGAAAGAGGTCATGGCAAGTCAACAAGGAGACCATGAACCCAGGGCCTTTGGAGGTTCAGGACAGCTGCTACTTCCGGCTACTTCTTCTGGGCTCTGCTCCAGGAGTGGGGGAGGGGAGTGTTCTGAGGGCTGGGCAGGACCCCTCATCCCACTCTGGAAATTCAGGTCATTGGCTGGATGTGCATTTGGTTAGGAAGACACCTAAGACTCCTTCCTTTCCAGAGAGGGATGGGGGGAGGGGTTGTGCTGACAGCCCCCCCATGCCCCAGGGAAGGAAGCCAGTTGAGATTTTCCCTCTCTAGAAAGAGGGTCCTCCGCTGGACAGAGTTCATGGCCCCAGGGGCCAACATGCGTGCATTCACATGGCGTAAAGCCCCATGGCAACCGTTGCCACCAGAAAGCTGAATGTTAGGACCCATCGGACTAGCGGTGCCTGGGAGAGGATGTTGAGCTGCGGCTTCCCTCTGGGTGTCTCGGTGGGAGTGGAGTCTGAAAGAGAAAGGGGGTCAATGTCAACCACAGGTGGACAGAGGTGGGATGTCTGATGTCACAGGAAAACACAGCAGAAGGGCCTCGGCAGTCTCGTACAGTCCCACTCAATGCCAGAATTCTATTACAGCACAAACAGGTAGCCCTCTAGCCACTGCTTGAATACCTCCAAAGACAGGGAGCTTACTATCTCTCCACGCCGTCTAGTCTTCCGTTTTCAGCCAGCCCACATTGGGAGACCACGCCCTCCAGGGGGACTCCAGGGGACCACATGCTGAGAACTGGTGCCATCAGGGCAACTTTGCCTCACCCCGCCAACTAGCCAACAGAGGGGTCCATGTGGTCCTGGCACGTGTGGGAAAGCCACAAGGCAGGGGGTCAGGGTGGCACCAAGAGCCATGAAGACTTAATGGAAGCTGCCAAGCAGGCAGTGAGTTTCACCTCTCCCCTCAACCCACTCCCAAAGCCGCACTCCCGCCACGCCTGTGTTAGGCTCGGTGAGCATCCATTTTGTGGAGCATTTTGGTCTTTTGGGATGTTTCCCAGACATTCTCTCAGCACAGACACAGCTTCAATAACTCTGAGGCACGTGAGGGAGGGACCAACACAACAAGACCCAGAGATTGTGTGTCTTCCTAGCATCCCATGGCGGTGTAACAGCAAGAACCAGTCCCAGACCCCTGCCCCATGTCAGAGGTCTCAGCTCAGGAACCATTAAAGGGCCCCCAAAGGAGCCTAAATTAAGTGGACTTTGCCTCTGACTTCCCAGGGGTCTTCTCTGTGCGTCTCTACTTCTTTTTTTTTTTTTAGCTGAGCCATCCTGCTACCTGTTGGCAGCTCAGCGGCTGCTCAGCTCGGGCTGGACTCGAACCGCTGTTGCTCAGAGCTCAAACTCTTGAGCGAGCTCTTAACCAACTGAGCCACTCGGCCGGCCCTATGTGCGTCTCTACTTCTGAGCCAATAAACAAGAACTAGCTCAACCTCCCTTGGTTTTGGAGTTGGGGAAACTGAGGTAGAGAGAGGTTACACAGCGTGCCCAGAGTCACACACTGGAAGTTAACCCCATGCCCTTTTTTGCCTGCACCCCACCTCTCATTTAAAACATTCAAACGACAGAAGAGTCAAGTGATGCTGGAGTCAGAAGAACGCTGGGCCATGTGCCCCTCCAGCAGAGCCCAGAGGAAGCGCTGCTCCCCGGAGGCGCTCACCTTGTGCCCTGCTGCCCGCCCGCTGGCGAAGCCCTGGTGCTTGCGAGGGGCTCTGGTCCTCAGCTTTCTGGGTCAGCCACTCCTGCAACTCCTCGAACAGCTGAAAGACAGAAGACGCACAGGCCTGTATCAGTGCGAGATGGCACTGACCAACAGTGGGATCTGAAGTTTGTTATGAAACATTTAGGACATAACAGAATCGTAAGAAAAATATTGAATGTTCGTGTACCCTTGGACCCAGCTTAAGAGATAAGATGTTACAAGTACATTTGAGCCACTTGCCTGCTTTCCCCAGATGCTCCCCAGTAATACCCATCCTGAATTTAGGGTTCACTGTCACCATGCATGGCCTTCTCCTGTGTCCCTCCTGAGTGGTACCCAAGTCTATGCAGCCTTCTGCACCCTGCTTTCTTCACCATTTTTCTTTGTGAGAGTCACCCTTGGAAAGCGTGTTTCATGGCGTTCAGTAGCCAAGGTTTGCAACGAGGGAGCAGCAGCTACCGGAGGGTTAAGTGGATGGACCGAGGCTCACCAGGAGGTCAGCTGGCAAGAGATAGCCAGCCAGTCGGGCACTGGCTCCCAACCCCTCAGACACAGGTTTTCTTGGAAGATTGACCAGGTTTGGTTTGTTATTGTTTAGGGAACTGCAAGGGAGGGGCTTTGTCCCATAACAAATGCTTGGACCAGTCTCTGCTGAAGTCCCAGGCTGGGAGCAGGGAGCCAGGAGGCCATGAGCTAGGTGCCCCCGTCTCCATCCATAGCACCTCCAGGTGAGGGGCGAGTGACAGGTTTCTACAACATCCGGGTTAGAAGGGACGTCACCCCCCACTCAGGACACCCACCCCCAGCTCTGCCCAAGAGCTCATCCTTCTGGGTTTTCTCAATGCCCACCTTCCCCCTGGGCTTGAGGCACCTACAGAAAGCTGCATCAAGCCTCCCTGGCTGGGCTGAGAGGCCCTGGAGGGCAGAGGCCACGCCCACAGCACCTGTACCCTCTGCTGTGCCAACCTGGCAACACGCAAGCACACGCACAGCTCGAGGGTTGTCACCGAGTGCTACAACTGTGGCGCTCACGCCCCACATGAACAGCAGTTAACATCAGAGGACTGACCCTGCACCAGGCCCTGCTTATGGGGACTTTACTGGTAGCAATTCCTTTAACCCTCACAAGATCTCTAAAAGGTATATACGCTTCTATCCCCATGTTACAAATGCAGAAACTGAGGTACAGAGGGATTAAGGGATTTGCCCAAGATCACCCAGCCACTAAGTGGCAGAACTAGAACCCTGGCTCCTCTGTCACTGCACTTGACCATGAGCCCCCCGCCCCCTTCCCTGCTATAAGAGAAATGTCCCTTAGAGGAGCAGCTGGGGGAGGTGGTGGCCGCCCTGGGCTGCCAGACCCTCACCTGAATGTTGAGCAGGAACGCGGTCTTGGCTTCTTCGATGACCCTCTGCCTGACCTCAGGAGTCATCTCCAGAGTGTTCATGCGGGAGCGATAGAGCTGCTTGAACTTGGTGGCACTAGCGATGTTGGGGAAGGTGAAGAAGGCCAGGCCGTCGCCGGAGCTGGGCAGGTCCAGGGCCTTCTGAGCTATCTTCTTGAGCACCTGGCCGCCGGACAGGTCGCCCAGGTAGCGGGTGTAGGCATGGGCCACCAGCAGCTCGGGCTCCGTGCGCCCCACCTTTTGGAGTTGCTGCACATAGCGCTTCATGGCCGGTGTGTAGGGGATGGCCTCCTGCCAGCGGGGCCCATACCAGAAGGCCAAGTCCTGCTCCAGGGCAGCCTTCCGATGCAGCTCTTCTGGGAAGTAGAGGGGCGCATAGACGGGATTCTCCTTGTTGCGTTCAATCTCCTCCTCCAGGGCCTCGTAGATGTGGAACAGGGATGCCATCACCAGCTGAAAGCAGAATGAACAGGTCAGGCCTCCAGTGGAGTAAAAGAACCCCCATCCAGCCCCTTCGCTGCCACCTTCACAGAGGCCCTCAGGGGCTCCCACCTCCTGCCGGCTCTCCAATTCTCTCCACACAGCCACCAGAGGCAGTGTCCCACGATAAAAACTTCTGCATGTAGTTTGAGCCCCAAACCCTTTTATCCTTCTGGGTGAAACATGTGGCCTTAATCCTCTCAAAATCCCAATCGAGTAGCTGTTCCCATGTTACAGAAAAGCAAACTAAGGCTCAGAGAGGGTATGAGACGCTGAGGTTGCACAGCTAGTAAGAAATGAAACTGGAGTCAAGCCCAGGCATTGCTAGGGAGCCAACATAGCTCTGGAGCAGGGGAAGTCCTGAATGAAAGTGCTGACAGGAGACCCAGATGCCTCTGGCCTTTGAACGTCTCGGTGACCGGGCCCGACTCACTCCTAGAGGCCCACTCTGAACTCCATCACCTCTGGATGCTGAGCTGGGGGGACAGGTCCAGTGTACCTTAGCTCAAGGAACTCCTGTTACACATTAATATTCTAGTTTGAGTTTGAAGGAGGACAAAGTTCCAGTTGAGGTTTTCAGATTATTTCAGAGTCATAAGCCTTTACAGCAACAGGGCAGAAAGCCAGGCCGCCTGGTCCAGAATCACCTGGGCTTTTGCGTGTGACCAACCTGATCTAACCTCAGCTCAGCCAGTCCGCAACTGTGTGACCACAGGGGAGCCACTCACCCTCTCTGGGCAATTTGAGGTCTGAGTGACTCTGTGCAAGTCAAGCCGTGGTTGCCTCCCCTGCAAGGGGATCATCTGACCATGTTCTAACTGGGGCTGGGGTGAGGGTCAATCAGGATGACACGTACAAAGATGCACTGGGCACAGCCTGGCACGTAGGTGCAGCCTGGCACTCAGCTCTCAAATCAGAGGCCGTGGTGACAAATGCCATCTCCTTCAGCATAATCCAAGTGAGCAATGGCTCCTCTCACAGACCTTTGTGTACACTTTGAAATGAGTGGCTTAGAGACAAGATCCAAATCTAAGGTGGCTGGGGATGGGATATTCCAGAGGTGACATTACAGCAACTGGGTGTAAGTCATCTTTTTGAGGGGGAGAAGGAGAATGCGGAAGAGGGAGCAACGGCTAGACCCAGCACCCACAGGCTGTATTGGGGCCCCACCCCCTCACTCCCACCTCAGAACTGCACCTTAAATCTCCCTTTGCTGGAGCACCTCTCAGGTTGGAAGTGGAGGAGGACCCAGTTTGCAAAAGGGAGGGGTGTTAGGGGTGGTGGGATACAGCTCCCCCACCATCCCCACCATTCAACCTGAAGAAGCCTTGCCTCTGCCTGGCACTTGTCTGGTTCTTTGTCAAGTGCTTTCCTTCTATTTGCATGAATTTCACAGTCAAGCTGGGAAACAGCAAAGTCAATGTCTAGCTTAAAGAGAGTGCTTAAGAAAACCCTGCTGGGCCAGCCGGGTGGCTCAGGTCGTTAGAGCACAGGCTCATAACACCAAGGTTGCCGTTTCGATCCCCACATGGGCCACTGAGATGCACCCTCCACCACTAGATTGAAACAACGACTTGACTTGGAGCTGATGGGTCCTGGAAAAACACACTGTTCCCCAATTAAAAAACAAGACAAACAAACAAAAAACCCCTTCTGTTGAAATTCCACTTCACAGATGAAGGAAAGGTGCGTTAGGGAGGTTAGAGGAGGTGTGTCCAGTCTTACTGTTAGGAAATGGTTGTGCTAGGGTTCAAATCCATGCTACCCCTTGCTTTCAGAGGCAGATTAGAATTAAGTCAGAAGTACAAGTTCTGAAATGAGACCAGCTTTGGCATGACTTCAGCCTTTCCCGTTTACTTAGTGGCTGTGTGGCCTTCCATTAGTTACTTAACCTCTCTGAGCCTTCCCTTCCTCCTCTTGCTTATCATGGTTGAAGCCAAAATTAGATATCGAGTGTGTAAAACACCCAGCATGGAACAGGTGCTCAGTTGACGGCACTACTGCCCCAGCCCCTGCACAACACTACACAGCTGTGAATTTGCTGTGTGACCTTAGGTAAGTCACCTCCCCTCTCTGAGCCTCGATGTCATCATCTGTAAAATGATTCTCTTGGACATGCCTATCTGGTCCCTCAGCATCTCTGGCCCCCGTCCCCACTGAATCCACTGGCCTGAGCCTTGGGCACACCCAAATTAGTCACTCCCCCCACCAGGGCTGATCTCACCAGGCCACATACCTTAAAGCCTTCTCGGGTCACCTGGCCCTTCTGAAAGTTCCTCATGAACTCAGCATTCTCCGCCTGGGTGTGCACCTCCTTGGTGGCCTCCTTCAGGGCCTCTGACAAATCCTGGGGCATGCTGCAGAGGGCGGGGAGGGTGAACAAGCGGGTGACTGTCAGCAGGGTTCTTCCAGGCACTGAGCCCCTGAGGGTGCCGCTCGCCTGTTGGCAAGCCTTCACAAGATTTCCGTTTTATCTGGCTTCTCAGTGGAAGTAAGTCCAACCTCCCATCTAATAATACACAGGCCACATTCCCAGCCACCTTAAATGCAGCCCCATCAACACTCTTCAGTCACGAAAATACTGTGTAAGATGGTCCCCGAACCAATGTGGAAATCCTGGTACCAGTTATTCTCCATGGAGGGAAGGGACAGCACAACCCAGGGAGAAGCAGCAGTGGGCAGGGTGAGCTTTCGGATGCAACGTCCTAATTGCGTTGATGGACTTTTAGACGCAAGATTTAATTCATTTATTTTGTTGAGGTTTCAGGTACAAGCCTCACGACCCCCTATAATGTAATGCTCATCATGAAAGCATTGGGTTAAAAAGCCTGAGTACAGCAGCTCTGCTTTACTCAAGAAAAAGTTTCTTTCTGAAAGTATTGTACTTATGTCATACACCCTGATGGGCATCTCACAGAATTGTCGTTATCTTCTCCTTTCTCTCCGGCACCCCTTCCAGAAACATCATCCCCTGTTCTGTATACGCGGATCAAGTCATTGGGAGAAGGGGAGGGGGCCAGACTTGGACGTGGACAGATTACCAAGGTTCCCATCCCAGCTAGCCAGGAACCCTGGACTCGCTGCCTCCCTTATGGGTAAAATGGGGACACAGTAGCCACGATGAAGTCTTGACAGCTCCTGAAAGCTAGACTCGGCCAAGAGTGGGCTCTGGTAAGAGAGCCACACTCTCATCCCGGCTCCAGCAGCCCGAGGGATCTTAGATCAAGCAGAGAGCACCGCCAAGCACACTCAAAAAACCCAATACTACCCAAAACAAAGTTGGATGCTATAGCGACACTCCCAAGGGTTACCCCGCCGGGTGCCTGGAAGCCAGGCATGTAAATCACCTTGCATCCCTCTAACTTCCCCAGGAGCACAGGCAGGATTGCAATCCAGCTCCTCCTTACTCCGAAGCCCAAGGTGACTCGCTGTTGAGCGACGTTGCTTCCCGGCTCTGTCTAGATCGACCGGGAGGGAAGGGGCTGCCCCGCCGGGCGCCCGTAGCCAGCCCGGCGTCCGCCCGCCCCACCGCCCCGTACTTGCCTGTCGGGATACGGGCGCTCCATCCTGCCGGTCCTCGGCTTGCTGGGGACTGGCTCCGGGGCTGGCTCCGACGTCTGCAGTCGAGCGGAAAGGGTCAGACAAGTGACTGTGCCGAGCGCTGCCGCGAGCGCAATTTATCCCCGGGGCCGGTCACGTGGCCGCCGCCCAACAGCTGATCCAAACTTTCTGGCTAGAAAGTAGCGACAGCGGCAGGAGCCCGTGCCCCGCCCGCGGGGGTGGAGGGGGAGCGGTCACATGAGCTTTGGAAAACAAAGCCTTTTTTTTTAAACGACGTTTAAAAAAAAAAAAATCTCTTCTGGAAATCTAAGCTGCACTGTGGTTTTGCCACTTCCAGAACCCCCTACCCAGTGTTGGGACTCGGAGCACTCCAGGAATCTGGGGGTTCCAGAGAGCTGGGAGGCAGCGCTTCTCAGAGCTGGAGGCTGGTGGGCAACCTCAGGGACTTACCCCATCCAGCCCTGCCTGTAGACACCCGCGTGCTCAGCCTTCTCCCTAAAAGTCACCTCCTCCCAGAACCTTCTCAGGCTGACATCCTGCCTCTCCTCACACTCCTTTCAAATGTAGGGTTAGGACTTGTTTTTTGAGCATCTATAGAGACTGGAGTATTTCCATGGTTCATCTCTACAACTACCCTGTGGGGTAGATCACTCCCACTTTACAGACAGGGAAACTGAGGCTGGGGAGAGGGTGAGATGGCGCTCCCAGGATCACACAAAGAGCAGGAAACCGGGACCCAAACTCCGGGATGAGTCCAGGTCTCTGCGGGCCTCCTTTGGGCTCTCTTAGCACTTGGTTCACGACTTGACAGGGACTGATGTTTGTCACCTAAACCACCTCCCTGCTTAATGTGTAGGGTGCTCTTCCAGGGCTGGTCAGGCCTGACTCATCCCCAGCACCCACTCCAGGCCTGGAACAGAGCTGGCCCTCGCTGATCTGAATGAGTTCTGCATGAGACAGATGGCTTAGGGCTGGGGGAAACAGGTCACTGGGTGAGCCCAGGTGACAAAACAAACGAACTGGATGATTCCTAAGTTCCCAATGCCATAATTCTGGATTCTAAATTTTAAAAAAAAAAAGAAAGAAAGAAAGACAAGAAAAGGTGACTTTGGCTCATTACAAGGACCATCCTTCGGAAATGCAGCTAGCAAGTGCCCCACCTATAAACGAATACAAGTATAAGCTCCAGGGTGGCCTGTCAAGTATGGATTCCCCAGTTGGGGAACTGGGGTGGCTGAGTCCTGCGGTCCCTTCCACACAAGCATGTCAGGAGTCCCTGATCCTTGGAGAGAGTCTGGAGGAACCAGGCAGGTACAGGTGGGCAGCGGGTCCATCCCATCCAAGGACAGAGTTCTGGCCCATGATCCATCCTCTTCCAAGATCACTTAGACCTGAGTGTCAGCCACCAAATTAGTATAGCGACCTGGGAGCTGCTGGGCCTTCCAGATAGAAGGGCTGTGCCCAGGAATTTAGCCCTTGGTAGAAACTATATAACCACCTTCTGTTTCTATGAACAATGATAACAATACTGATGAGACAAGTAAAGAGTTAACAGGAGCAGGCTTGTGAGCTGGCAAGATGGATGGACAAACAGTTAACAGGAGCAAGCTTGTAAGCTGGCAGGAGCAAGCTTAAGCATTAACCGCTCAATGCTTTGCGCTTAATCCCCTGGCTGCTTTGCACTGCACCTGCAAAAAGAAAACCCTGCAGGCTGACAAGCACCTTACATCCATCATAGGTGGGAATGGAAGGGTTCCCAATCGCAGCAGCAACCTTCTGCAAGCTGACATCCATCATAGATGGGAACAGGACAGTTCCCAGGAGAAGACAATTGTAATGGCAGCCCCCCTACCTCTGCAAACTGACAAGCACCCTGCATCCTGCTTAGAAAAATATAAAACCCCGGCATTCCTTCTCATTGAGGCAGCTGTCCCCCACTGGACTCTGTCCTGGCGAAACTTCCCTTTGCCCAAACTGTCTCTCTCTTTGACTTTCAATAAATTTTTTTCTTACTCTTGTCGAGTCTCATAAATTCTTTGACATTCTGCGAACGACCAGGGGTTGATTCTACACCAAGACAAATACTAATAGCTAATATTCACTGAGCACTTACTGTGTGCCAGATACTACATGAAACACATGTATTAACTCATTAAATCCTTATGTCTCCCTAAGAGATACTATCATTATCCCCATGTTACAAATGAGGAAACTGAGGCAGAGAGGTTAAGACAAGGGTGCCAGGTAGTCTGGTACAATGATTTCAAAACTTTCAAGGTGGGGAGTCAGCTCTCAGAATGCAGGAGGGGGTGAGACGAGCCAAAGGAACACAGTTATTCCCACGAAGGTCCAGACAACACCTCCAAGGTTGTTTCGGAAAGGCTCGTTCTGCTGGTCAGGACTGTTGCTGTTAGATGATTTCAAAAACAGTTACCAAGAATGTTCTAGAAATGAGGACTATTAGAAACCAGTGGCCTCATTAGAATGAAAGATCCAGGAGGGCAGAGACCTGGTCTACTTTGTTGTGTAAATCCCCAGAGTCTGGGACCATTCCTGGCAGGTAGCAGACAATTAGTACTGAATGAATGAATGAATGAAGGAAGGAAGGAAGGAAGGAAGGAAGGAAGGAATGAAGGAATAGATGGCACAAATCTCTTTCTGCTAAAAATGATAACATTGCTAGGCCGCCAGAAAGGGCTGGAACCAAGCCACAATTACAAGTTGCAATGGTAGCCAACCTTCACTGAGCACTTACTGGGTGCAGAATCTCGTTGAATCCAAACAACAGCCCTGCAAAGTATCACCATGTTGTCCACATAAACACTGAAGTACAGAGAGATTAAGTAGTTTTCCCAAATCACACAGCGAGTGATAGCAGAGCCAGGACTCAAACCATGGCACTTTGACCCTGTAGCCCATGCTCCTAACCCGCCCCCCCACACACACACACACACAGGCCCTTTCACCGAGGGGCCAGTCTGTCCTCTAGTTTAGGAGACAAGAGTGAGGAAGGTCTGAAAATTTCCCATCAGCAGACCCAGGATCCGCCAATTCAGGAACCCCAGAAGGTAAGCTCATGTGATCTGACCCTTTCTTATTTAACATGGGAGAGCAGAGACTCCAAGAGGGGATTGATTTGCCCCATTGAACACAGAGCCTTCAGCGACCAAGTGTTCCTAGCTCCCAGTCCAGGCCCGCTCCTCATTCCACCTGGGAGCCCCTGACTTGGCTAGAACAGACTCCACTCCACCCCCACTGCCACGGACAACCCCAGAGCAGAGGAGGCTGGGTCAGAGTTGGTCTAGTTCTCTTTGTCTCACTGTTGAGCTTGCAGCATTTCCCCATACTGATTCAGTTTCCTAACTTCCCCTTTCCTGTCCTCAAGCAACAGGAATGATCCAAATGCTATTCTTTCTCCCCCTGTTTGCCGAATCAGGGCCCCCCCAAGGATGTCTACATCCTAATCCCCAGAACCTGTGTATATGTTACTTTACATGGTGAAAGGAATTTTTCAGATGTGATTAAGGATCTATAGATAAGGAAGATTATCCTGGGTTATCCCTGTGGGCCCAATGTAATCACAAAAGTCCTTGTAAGGGGGGAGGCTGCAGAGTTACAGATACAGAGGGGGACGTGACAAGACAGGCAGAAGGACAGAGACTGGAAGATGTTCACTCTACTGCTGGCTTTGAAGATGGAGTTAGGGACCGCAAGCCAAGGAAAGCAAGTGGCCTCAGAAGCTAGAGACGGTGAGGAAGTGGGTTGTCCTTAGAACTCCAGAAGGAATGCAGCCCTGCAGACCCATTTTTAGGACTTCTGACCTCCAGAACGCCAGAGAATAAATTCATGTGTTTTAACCCACAGTGCTGGTGGAATGTCATGACAGCGGTAGGAAAGGATACAGCCCCCCTCAAGGCCTGTCTTCCTCATACCCAGGGCACAGCCTCAGCTTTGGGAAGCAGGAGAGGGGGATGGATAGAGAGACCCTGGGAGGTTCGCCCTCAGTGGCTCCCTTCTGCCCTCTCCCAGCACAATGCCTGGCACTTCCTTGTTAAGCTTTAGTCTGTCAGAGAACCCACCAGCCTCTGGGCTTCCCTTTCAGTCACCACTTAAGCAGCTTCGAGCGGGCCTGTTTTGTATGAGCGCTGGAGATACAAAGCTGGAGAGGCTAGAAGCCCATCCTGACAGAGCATGTGTGCTCAGGCGCCTAATGGAGGATGTAGGAAAAATGACCCAGAAAGGGGACAGGGGCCACGGAAGACAAATGTGGGTGGAAAACTGGAAAGAAATATTGGGGTTTGTTCTGAGCCAGCATTCTCCCAAGCTTGGTCCCATTTCATCTTACCAAACCAGCAGGTGGGAGTTTATTTGTGGTGGGCAGAATCATGACCCCCCAAAGTTGAACACATCCTAATGAAACAGGGCCCAGTTGGCACCCCCATAGTAAAGGCCTTCCCATGCCCCTGGCCTCACCTTTCCTTGATCTACCTATAACTTAACAATTGATCATCCGCCTGCGGTTTAAGCATGGACTGTCGCCTGTCCCACCCAGTCCCTGTTTTAGAAAATTACCCTTTTTCTCAATTTATGATTAATACCCTTAGGCTTATTGATCACAATCTCAATGGTACCAGGCTGATCCCATCATTGTTCCTGGGTTGCCTCTGGAGGAACACCCCAATTTTCCCTTAAATACCCCAAGCTGGTCTGAGAATGTGAAGGCAGTTTTTGGAGGTGTTAACCCGTTGCCTTCTCAGACCACCGGTGCTCTGATAATAATGCTTATTCTATAACCCAACTCCTGTGTCGGTCTATTGGCTGAGCAGTGCCGGCAGCACGAGCCCTGAACTTGTTTGTCCTCCGGTTTCACTAATACTTGGAACCCGTGAATATATTATGTTACCATTGAATAGGTTCATTAGACTTTGCGGATGTAATCAAGGTTACAGACCTTAAAATAGGGAGATCATCCTGGATTCTCTGGGTGGGCCCCCACTAATCACAGGAGGCCTTGAAAATGGGGAACTTTTATTCAGTTTTTTAGATTCCACATATAAGTGAGATCATATGGTATTTGTAACTACAATATGGCCTTAGGGATAGACAAGAC